GGCCGGCGGCGAGCCCCTGAAAGAGGCTCTTTGTCCAGGGATGCAGAGAGCGCTGTCCCCCGACATGCTGGGCAAGCGTTGTGAAGCCGAATTTCCTTGCTGTAAAAGTTTGGCTTGTGTGTTGCAGTGCCGGGAACGTGTAGGTTGCTGGCAGCTGAAGTCTCGAGTCTCACGCGCGGGATAAATACTCAAGCTTGCTTTCAGTCAGCTTTCAAAACGCTGTTATCTGGCTGCAGACTTGATTATGTTTTTGTGGACATAATTCTTATTACTCGCCTGATTAGCTATAAGAATTTGATCTATTTTATCTATTTTTTTTCTTTTTTGTTTGCTGTTGCATGTTTCCTCATTTGATTGTAAATGTTTTTTTTTTTCTCCTCTAGTATGAAATTAATCTGCTGGAACTAATAAAAAAGAGAAGAGCAGTAAGTTTTTTCAGCTACTTAGAATGCAAAAGACTGTACTTCAAACTTTCTAGGGTAATGAAATTAATATTTTTTTCCTAGCGTATTGGGTATTCATTTAAGAAGGATGAAATTGAGAACTCCATTGTGCATAGAGTCCATAGCCTCTTCAAACGTGCCACAGGAAAATGGAAGGTAAGTCTGTTTATTTCACTTGGACTGGTAGGTTGAAAAATACTCTTTGGCATGATGTGTTTTGAAAAGTAAATCCAGCTATCGCTACCAAAAAATATTTGCAGTAATTTAGAAGAATGTAATTGAAAAGCTGAATATAAGTTAGATCATCATATACTTAGTAGTAGCCTGGAAGTAGAGCATTCATATCAGATTAAACGTCTTCTGTACAGAAACAATATTTTGTTTTTTCCAAGTCATTACTTCTTGTCTGTCTTGAGCCATGTATTTTCATGTGAGTTTGGTCTGCCAGCTTCCAAGAACTAGAAACCTGGAATAAAAAGGCTTTCAGCTGCTTTGGGAAAAGATTGTCTTGAGATATCCAATGGTAAAACTAATGCTTAGATGGGTACCTAAGGCATCATCATAATGTGTTGTACTGAACTCAGTACAGAGCTCAAATTTGGCTGCAGAGGCTGTGAGGGTGTATCTTGAGATGGGGGCTTAGCTTTCTTTGGACAATTTTGCAGAAATTGGAAGATCTGAAAGCAAGGGAATTTGAGATTCAAAATTACTTTTATCTGCATGTTCTTTTCTAGTCCTGCCAAGTGCATATTCTTTGCTTGCCAGTGTGCAAAACTGATTCTTTGCTTGCCTTATTGTAAGGTTAATTCTCTTCCCTCTTGCATTCCCAACAGGAAGATGTCCAGCTGTGGTTGTCACATGTCGCATTTTGCAAGCAGTGGGTGAGTTTTCAGAACATGAGTCTTGAATCAAGACGATCCTGAAATGATGATCAGTCTAGCGCCTGAGACTAGTATTACAAGACAGGAGACCAATTTTTACTGTGTCTTAATGCAGTATTGGAATAGTATTGGTGGTATTATTGGGGCTGCCTAGCATTTTCAGTGAAGTAAATAATGCAGAATTTGACTCAGAATGAGTTATTATCAAATTTGATGCTTGCAGGTGGCAAAGGTGGGGCTGATTGCATTGAATCTGGAGTATCATTTGGTTTGTGAGAATCATGCTACTGGTTATCGCTTCTCTGGAGTGCATAGATCACCTGTCTGTGACTTGTGATTTTGTTCCAAACATTTCTTATTGTGGGTATGCTGAAAGGTATAATCTTAGCAATTTTGTACATCATAAATTGTTTTCTGTGCCAGTCTTCACATCATTCCTACCCTTAGACATTGACCTTACTGTACTAAAGAAGGTGGCCACCAAAACATATAGTCTTTACCTCAGAGTGATCAGTGAGGCTATGGGTTTGTGATTCAGGCAAGATTTGTGTTAGCTCTCTAGTTCAGAAGAGGTTTAAGTTATCTATCCCGATGCAGTCATGGTAACATTTGAAAGCTGATCAGTATTAAACAAATCTGAGACGCTTTCTACTGAAGATAAAGGAGTAAAGAAGTCTTTCCTGTCACAGCTACAGTGGAGCTTGTAACCTTCCATAATGAAACTTTGATGCTGGTGGTTCAGTTCAGTACTAGAATAGGTACAACTAAACTTTTTTTCCTTTTACAGAATGCAAAACATCAGCTTAGTAAGGTGTTTTCTTGCATGTTAGCCATTCATCCCAATAAGCCAGGTGAGTAAAACAGTGGCGAGTCCTGCAGAAAAGACTTGAATTTGAATAATGTTTGAATAATGTTGGTTTAAATTCTCGTAGATCTCGGTTCAAGCTTTTGGGGTAAAAATTCCTTTCTCTTATGATTTGCTTTGCTGCTCCTTCAGAGAGAAGTGCTCTGACGAGGATTGTGCTGAACAATCAAAAGCTGTTGCGAAGTGGGAGTCCTCTCAGTTTGAATGATGTTTTCCCAGGTAGACTGGGAACTGGATAAATACTTCGGGGTAGAAAGTCTTGAATACTCATGGCTTCTTTTTGGCTTTTGAAGATGTCGTTGTACATCATTGGTATAGCTATGCCAGACTAAGCTTCCTGGATCTGCTCAGCTTTTAGTCCTTTAACTGGGACTCATAGGCAATCAGTCATCTATCCCATCCCATTGCTGAGCTCGTGGATGTGTTGGGATGGGGGTACACAGAACGAAAAGAACCTGTGCATCCTGGGCAGTACATTCCAGAATGGGTTCTCATGACCAGCCACTTGCTTTACATTGAAATGGACTCATTCATGTTTTCTGTTGCAGCACTGTGGATTATGGCAGCAAAATGGGAAATGGAGGCACGTCTCTCGTCAGAAAGCGCTAGGCACTTGTTTCTTCGTGCTTTGCGCTTCCATCCAGAGTGTTCGAAACTTTATCAAGAAGTGAGTTTCTGGTTTTCCTCGATGTGCTGTTATTTTCAGTCAGATCAAATCAGTCCAGCGAATTTCTCAGATCAATCTGTCAAAAATTGCTTTTCCATCAATGTGGAAATGTTGTCAAAAAGATTTTTTTTCTTTAAGTTTTTGTGCTCTGTATTGGTAGCTTTTAACAACTGCTTAGCAAACCCTATATATATATATATTTGTATATATATATATATATATACACATACAAATTGAGGGTCTTACACTGTGTATAAATGAATATGTCAGAATTCTCTAAAGTACTGTGAGCTCTGCAATTTCTCTGAATTAGAATAAGTATCCACGGTTTTTCTTAACGGCAAATTAGGGTTTAAAGAATGACTGAAACATGGAAATGTCTAAATGTGGGAAATTTCTTAGAAATATGTAGAGCAGATGGGTATGCACACAATTCGTTAAAAAACAAGGCTGTAAGACGTGCATGGGATGTTAGGTTTGTAGCTCCTCAGACAGGGCTTGTTTTACCACATGTTTGTGGACTTAGGTGTTTTATGCTTTACTCTCCCGTATTTTCATGTTTTCTCTCTTTTATAGTATTTCAGAATGGAGCTGATGCATGCTGAAAAACAGAGGAAAGAAAAGAAAGAATTTGAACGAGCAAAGATGGACCTAGTAGGTCACCTAAACTTACCCAGAGATACTGTCTGCTCGCATATCACGCGTCTGAATGCATAACTTCAAGGGATCGGTGTTAAGGGTTTGTTTGAGAGCAGCTTAGAGAAAGTTGTTCCCATGCTGTGCCTGTGCTAAGCTTTTCAAGTGTTGGCTGTTGCTCAGCTCAAGTACTTCATACATTGTCTTTAATTTTTCTTAAGCATAGAAGCTATTTGTAAAGTCTCATTATATCCCCGAGTTTGAAAGTTAATGCCTATTTCTGGTGAGGAATGGTTAAACTGATTATGTCTTTCATTCTAGTCCACTTGTGCAAACTAGATAAAGATGGATTCTGATGAAGAAAAACATTAATATCTTTTTCTGACATTTTTTCCATGTTTGCAAAAATGGTAGCCGAGAAAGGAAAATAATTTTAACAATATTCTGCTTGATAATGCAGGGGGAATTCAATTACTCTGAGGAGATTCTTAATGGGGAAATGGCTCGCATCATTTACAGGGACGCTGCTCAGAAAATCAAAGGTAGTTTAACATTTCTTGTCCTTGTTCAGTAGGAAAATTGTCGCTCAGGTCTCCAGTATCTAATATGGGTAGTGCTAGTTCCAATGTAAACACAAAGATGCATTCTCAAATACACCATACACCATTCCTAGTAGAACCTAAATGATGTCAAAGTGTAACTGCATAGTACTGACTGTTCTGAATTCATAATTGTTCTGCAGGCAGGCACCTCTTCCAGTACAACAGCTTTTGGACTGAAGTGACATAGGCATTGGGCTTACAGGCTCAAAATCTGTTTTTAAAAAAAAAAAAAAGTGGGGTAGGAGGGCAGTTTAGAATTATAGGCCTTTCTTCCTGTGTTGTCTACTGAACGTTTGATCGCAAATGATTTACTAGCACTACTGATAGGAATTCAGACTACAATAACAATCAGAGTAGGTTAGATGATTTCAAATTAACTGGGCTTATAATAATTGCAAAATTGATAGTTGTCTTTGAGAAAGCATAAGAATGTTTTGGAAGACAACAAAGCGCAAGATGTAATATCAACATTGAAAAGTAGAGGAAAGAAGAGAGTGTTGGAGGAAATTACAGACCAGTTGGCATATTTTAAATTCCTTGGAGAAATACTGGAATGAATAGACATGCAAAGGATTTGTAAGTACCTAAAAATAAGGAAATGAGTAATGGCTGATAGGGATTTGCCATGATCTTATGTCACATCACGTCACATGGCATTCTCAAAGATAACGTAGGGAGATGCAGGATGGATGGATAATTCATTGATTAGAATATCCTGGTTAGCATAGTTTTCCATAGCTTACCATCTGACTGGAGGCATATACTGCGTGCAGCTCTGGAGAGATCTGTCCCAAGTGTGGAGCCGTACTGTATTTTCATTAAAAAGTCAGATGAAAGAGTAGAGGAGGTACTGATTAAATTTGTAAGCAGAACCAAGCTGGTAGGATCTGGAAGCACATCAGAGGACAGGATTAGTTTGTCACTTTGGAGTCTGGAATGTCCTGCCCTTTCATGGGTTTCATGGCCCTTTTTGTCACTGGCTAACATGAACTCTTGAAGCATACATTTAGGCAATTAGCATCCCAATATGTGGCTTACCATATGGGTGGAACACTGAGGTTTGTAGGAAAGAAAATCTGTCTAGACACTTAAATGTTATCTGTGTCATGAAAAAAGATGGCAAAGATGCTGAAATGGAAAGGGTCCAGTGGGATGTAACGTTTTAATTCTAGTTGATAACTTTTTTTCCTTCTTGATACCTAGATGTTCAATTTCATCTGGCTGTGCTTTCTATTGCAAAGCTCTTTGATTTTACCCAAGATTTGCAAAAAGAAATTCTTGAAAGGTGAGGATTTTTTTTTTTTTTTTTTTTTTTTTTTTTTTTTTTTTTTTTTTTTTTTTTTTTTTTTTTTTTTTTTTTTTTTTTTTTTTAGTAAAACAGTCCACTAACTTCCCTAATTTATAGAGAGTTGACAGGTTAATGACTAAGGGTGGTTTCTCTAAGGAAATTGAATGTTAAGCCATATGGGAAATCCTTCAAAGAAAATAAAACAAGAGAGGAAAGCATGCTGTTTGGTAAAGGTACTTGTATCTAACTTCAGAATAGGATTTGAGAACCTGCGAAGAAAATGTAGATAAAATACAGTTGTCATTGAATTATTACAGCACTTAAGTTTTCAGTAATTTATCTGCAGGAAGGGTGGAGCTTCTTAGTTAACTTGTTGGTGGTTCTTTTGTATCTTTAGTTTCCTCAATTGCTCTTTCTTTAGAGGAAAGCTGCCACTCTATTTCAAGCCATTACTAGAGAAATAACAACCCTTCTAAGAATACTTGTGAAAGATTAACAGCAGTTCAGTGCTGTTACAGACATGGTATATTAGTTTGCAGGCCAAGTATGCTGATGACCCTCTTACCTGGGACTACATGGCCCGTCGTGAGCTAGAGCTGGGGTCCGTGCAGTCCGCAGAACATACTACAAAACAGATGAAAGTATCTGAAATGACTCAGAGAGAGGAACGGTGTTGTGCGGTGTTTGAAGAGGCTGTGGCAGCAGTCCCCACAGGTGAGATGTTCTGCTTGCATTTTAACATCAGGTTCTCCTGGTATTTTTACATGCTGTGTACTGTAACAATGTTGAAGCAGACGTTGGCAAGCTCTCCCGTATCTAAGGGAAGGCAAACAGTTTGTAGATGCTACCTTTTCGGGATCTATTTTATGAGTTACTTTCCAGTGCAATTAGGCTTTTGAAGCAGTTGCTTAACTGAAAGTGCTTTTTGTTGCTTGTTTTTTTTCATATGACTTCACCAGTGAGGATAGTAGAGGCACACAGCTAGTAAGATCAGCAGAGGTTTTGGAACTGTAGACAGAGAAAACTGCCTAAATAAAAGAAACCTGTCAAACTCAAATATATTGCTAGTTATCTGGAAGTAAGCAATGTTCTCGAGTTGCCAGTGGAATGGATATCTGATGTCAACACCTGGCGTCGTCCTTACTCTTAACAAAGACTGTCAAGAGGCTGTGTCTGTAGAGTGAACTCAGACTTGCTGCCATAGAGCCTTTGAAGTCAGGCAGACAAAGAAGGTTTCTCTCCACTGCCTGTGAGTGTCCTCACTCATACAGGTCCATTGAAAACTACAGGTAAAGGATGCACTGAATGTTAATTGTGACAATATGCGCTGAAGTGCTCAGCTAAACTAAGAGCTTGGCGCTCTTCAGAACAGTTAGCGGCTGCAGCGCATATTGGAGAGCCATTTTTAAATGTTAATGTTATAAATGTGGAGGACTCTTCTATGCTACAACATTTTAATACAAAATTGGCATTAATACTTAGTGCTTGGATTCCCTTCCTTCCTTCCTTACCCTAAAGACAAACATTTATGCTTACTGTTGTGATTCTGTAGAGTCTGATGTTATGCCTTTGATCCTGCAGAGAACATGTGGAAATGCTACATCACTTTTTGTCTGGAGAGATATAACAGGAAAACCAACAGTGAAGAGTTAAAGCAAAAGGTAAATACTCATTAGAAATCATAGTAACAAAGCATCCCTATTTTTACTGACTTCTATAATCTTTCAAACAAAGCGCAAGTATATTTTGAAATGCTCCATCTGAAATGTTGAAATGGAATCGTCATTAAAGATCATTTAGTCTCCCTCTGAGGGAGTCAGCTTTACCGTCAGGCTCGCCTTGTGGCCTGACATGAACACGAATAACTCGGGCATTTACTCGTCAGCAAAATACTGTGACCGCCTTGGATGGAAGTTCTTAAGAGGCCAAGCTTGTTAATGTTCTCTGATAGTCCTGCAAACCTGGGCTTGTTCAAAAGGAGAGATGAATTACAATTGTTCTTGTAAACAAGACTGAGCAAAGTTTGGTGCTGGCGTGTGGGCACCTTTCTTACGCCGCTGTGCTTGGGTATTACTGACTGAATTAATCATGAATCTTGTGCAGTTTGGTCCCTTTTACTACAATCGAAGAACATTGCTATGTGGAGTTTTGTTGCTATTTAAGGGAGAAGCGTAACTAAAATGCTGAAATCCCACCTTCATCTTGGAGCGTATACGGGTACCTCAAGCATTAGATATGTACATTTTGTTGAATTTCACGGCGATTTGGACACAAAAATCCGCTAGGCTTTTTGTAATGCTTGGATCTGGTGGATGCAGCAATAATGTTTTTCTTTCTTTTTTGTTTTCTTTTGGCTCTAGAGGCTGGAGAGGACATTGAGCGTGTTCGACAAAGCCCATGGGTCCAGTTTGCTGCCAGAAGCTCTGTATAAGCAGTGGGTAAGAGCTGATGCAGAAGAATAGACTGGGAGACTGTCCTGCATTGCTTGCATGCCTAACTTTATCATTTTGAGTAGACAGTAAGGTGGGCAAAATAGCATTCAAGGCCTTGTTTTCTATCGAAACACTACAAATCTCTTGTGGTGACTACCTGTATCTGCTGGTTTTTAGCTTCAGCTATTACTGGAGTCCAGCCTCTGTGAAAAGGCTACAGAGGTGGCAGAAGCTGCAACTAAGCGTTTCAGTCTGTCAGTGGAAGTATGGCAGATGAGGCTGCAGGTGCTCATCCAACTGAAGAGCGACGATGTGACCCAGCGTTTTGAGGAAGCCCTTAAGCACGTGAAAGCTAAGGTCTGTGGTGGTTTTATGGACTTGCATGCAGTTGTTTTGGACAGGAAACCTCTGGTACTTATTTGAAAGGTTTTTCCTTTTACGAGGCACTCAGTCCTAAATCATTTTTAAGGTTAAAAATAAGAACTTGACATTTCACATGCACATTGTATTCAAGAATATCTGGGAGCTGCAAATATACTTCAAATTCAGAGTTTTAAGGCCTGAATGACAGGTGATATTTTGCATGCTTTTCTAGCAGTCACCTGGCATTCTTCATGTCTGACTTGAAAAACACGTTTCCTTTTTTTCACTGTGATGATGTATTGTTTGCGTGCGTGGTATTTCAAGCCTTGGATTAGCTATGTGCTCTCTTGTGTTCTATTTCAAACCCTGGATATAAGGAGTGAGGAGAGGAAAGGATCAGATGATTGTTTCTTTCCTCCTGTTCTCGGGAGTTATCTTTGGGCCGTGGTGTTCAGGGATGCAAAAGAACGTGTCTCATCCTTGGCAACGCTTCTAGCAGTTTTCCAGCTAAGTAATATTTGTTCTGTGAGTGAGGAGAGAGACAATAATTGATTTCAGTGTACAGCGCAAAGTCATTTTTTTAACAGCCTTGTCTAATGGACGGTTTTACAGCAGTTGTAATGTAGAACCTGGTGGATATCTTGGTATCCGTTTCTGTAAATCGATCCGAGTCTTACCTATATTTCAGTCATATGATTTCCCTGCTTGCTTATCTTGTAGGGCACCTTGCCATTATGGACCCTCTGGGTGGAATGGAGTGAAGGCACAAATAGCAAGGAAGACACAGAAGCCCTCTACCAGGTGCTTGGCTAATAGAAATTTACTTTTTCTGACAGTGTGAAAATAAACAGGAACAGTATGTGCAGAGCGTGTAAAAAATGCAGTGAAAATACTGCAGTTCTTTTGTGGACGTGTTGATACCAAAGCATTTCAAATAGAACTTTTGTGAATTGCTAACTGTTACTGAGAATCAGTTGGATGCAAGCTCCTAAGTTTTGACATCGTTTCCATGCTGCATAGACATCCAGATGTTTGTAAGCGTAGCTAACGATGGATTTTTGTTTTTTCTTTTTAGTTTGATCATAACTGTGTGGTCTAGGATTTTTTGTTCTATTTTCAGATATCTGTCTGAACACAGAAAAGAGTATTTTCCAATCTCTGTATGAAAGCATCAACGATGTTACAGAAAACTCCAAGAATGAAACTTGGACTTTAATCCCTGAACCTATGATCTGTTTAATCTATGAATACCTTTGGGCAAAAAACTATTTCTTTGCCTGGCCTATTTTTTTCCTGTTTACAGCATAAAACAACTTATTTCCAGTGGAAACTAAAATTCAGGTTGTAGAGCATTGGGAAACCCTCTACATGAAGGATGTTAGAGGAATGTCAAAGCCCAGCTGTCTGGAATATTGGAAGAGAAATGTATGTTAGGTTTTATTTTAATTTGCACAATATTGGATGTGTTTCTTAATGCTGTTTTTCAGACATCATTCAGAATGCTTTTGTCCAATACCTTGTCTAACTTATGAGATCCACTTAAGGTCAGATGTTGGTTTCTTTTCCCCTGTTGCCTTTTAATTGTAACTTCTGTGTTTTTTACCTTACAGAGATCCTTGCGTGCCACAGCTCCTACTGAATCTGTGACTATGAAAGAAAAGTATCTTGACTGGGCCTACAGGAACGGTGGTTATAAGAAAGTAAAAAGAGTCTTTACCAGGTGACAAATTTAAAACCTGAAACCTGATTTTTCTAGGGTATATGTTTATAAGGTTCAAAGCCTGAAGTTATTTATGTTTTTACTCTAGCTTGCATGAAAATCGTCCATTTTCACTCAACTTCTTCAGGAAGATGATCCAAATAGAAAAGGAGCAAGTAAGTTGTTAAATACCCCATTAGTGCCTTGTATTTGTAAACTACGCTTTCTGTCTTTGAATTTGAATAGAAAATGGTGGGCTTATGAGTAGTATAATTAGTTTGTAATCAATTCATATTTGTAGTCTAAAGCTGATTCATAGCATGCATTACAAAACCAAGTTCCATGGTAACTAATCTTTGAACTTCTTGGCAATGTGTGTGTGTGTGTGTATAATTAGTATGGCATTTTTTTTCTTTTAAGAATCTAATCGAGCTGCAGGGTTTATTTCCGTACAAAGTAAACGGACTTTTAATGCCTTCCTTTGCTAGGAGTCCTGCAAAATGCCTCATTTGAGAGAGTACTATGAACGTGCCTTGCGAGAGTTTGGTTGCACAGATTCTGGTAAGGGATTTTTTTGTTTTGTTTTTAATTCAGTGCTACCTCTTTTCTTTCCATACATTTGAAAAAGTAGCTGTTTTTGCTACTTTTGCTACCTGTGATTGCTGTCAAGCAGAGTGCATCTTATTTCTTCTTTTCCGTTAAGTGCATGACACTCTGCAGTGACCCTGAACTTTCCGTCCAGGATCTTTGGTCACAGTAGGATGGCTTCAGCAGAACTGCTAGCAAGTAAGGTTTTGACATGCTGGCATAAGAAATACACATCACCTTTAATCTGGATTTGGGAACAGTATGGAGCTATCTTTTCATAATTGAAATTTCTGCAGTATCCCAAATGGTATAGGAAGCTGCTCCAGAGGAGTTATGTTATTTCTTACGACATCACTGTCCCAGCTGGGAATAGCTTTTGGACCTCAAGAGGTGGGGAAAAAGTTTGTTGAAGTAAACCTCATTGCATTTAAGATGGAGAACGTTTTTTTTGAAGAGAATTTCTAAGTTAGGATTGGTATGTTTATTATGTAATACCCAGGGAATTTCTGTTTTCTTTTAAAGATCTCTGGCTGGATTATATTAAAGAGGAGCTAAGTCATCCGCAAGGCAAACCAGAAAACTGTGGGAGCATTCACTGGCGAGCTATGAAGATGTTACAGGGAGACCTGGTGGAAAACTTTGTTTCCAAATACACTTTATTGCAAACTGGACACTTATGAAAAACTGTAACTAATCAATTACAACATGACAGTGGAGAATTTTTTAACCTCTTGTGTGGGGGTAAATATGTTCCTGAATCATATTAAAATATACTTTTTTGATTTTTCACATGTGCAAGAATGTATTCTGCCCTATTGCAGTTGTTACCGGTGGTGCCTCTGTCAATGGTAGGTTGAAGTGCACAGTTAAAAGAGAAAGCAAAGGCAGCTCTGAGAGTGTTCTCTACTGAGAATTATAAGAGTAAACTCTTCGTCGTCATAATGCATCAGGTTTTATGCTCTGGAAAGCTAATATTACAGCACATAAATGCAATCTCGCCCCCCCCCCAAAACCGCAGAAGCCACACCTCAGGAGATCTTGGTATCTCATCTAAGTTCTGTAATGAAGAATGGAACAATGGAAAACAACCTGTAAAATGATAATGCTATTTACTTCTTATTTCTTAACCTTGAAGTCACCTGCAATCCTTTTAAAAACCAAAATAACCACTGCAATTTGTGTTTGTATCCTAAAACCTGTAATTCTGAGAGCCACTGTGAAATGCAGAGGTGAGTTGAGATCTATCACATATGTCCCTGATGTCACAGTAGAAAGTTCTAACTTGCACTTTAGCCTTATGTCCTCAAACCCTGAAAAAAATGGATAGTGGTTCTTCAGAGACAGTGCTGTCCTTGGTTGTTTGCAGAGCTACGTTTTCCTATGTCAAACTGGTTAAAACACCATAACTGCTATCATCAGACCATTAGCTCAGTCTCTCTTTTCTAGCAATTGCCCGTAGAGGATGCCTAGGGAACATACAGGAACTTAAAGGAACTATTGCTGTATGTAATTTCTCAATGTCTGAATGGTGTGATTTTTTTCAAGGAGATAGGCTCAGAATGCCAGTTTTTGACATGAGGACCTTGATCCAGAAAGGCAGGCTTTCTTTCTGAGTACTAGATAGATGTTTTTCAGCCATTAATCTATTATCATTAGTCACCTGCAAGATTAGTGGTTTGCTCCTTAATGACATGCTAGAACAGAAAAATATTTTGTTTAGATTTCTCACACAAGTAGAACCTGCAATTCCTCTCAAGCAATGAATTCCAGTAACTTTTGGTGAGCTGTAAACAAGGTTTGGAGCAACAGCCTGTTCAGATGACTATTTCCATGACAGCTGAAGTATGTTGCTGCTTTGTCTTTTCCCAAGCTTTTATTCAGGCCATCTTCCATCTCCCCAGTGGTTTTCAGCTGTCTCGTGTCTGGCATTTTGCACTCCCCCCAGTATTTGCTCCTCTTAAATGTTGTGGGTCTGTCCTTTATTATGTTACTCCCTTCCCTGGCTCACTTGTCTTGCTTCTTGAGTTGTATAACAAAAAGCTTTTACTTTATTGCAAAGCTTTTAAAAAAAATCCAAGAAAACAGAAAATGTCACCATTTCTGTAAGTGGGGTTAGCATAACGGACCTGGAGTAAAGCTCGAGACTTGTGGGCTGGAACTGGTACCGGCACGGTTGGTGACCCAAAAACTCATTTCACTCTGTTCCTCAGTTTCCCCAGCTACAAATAGTGCCACTTTTTAAAAAGAGCACAGTCTCCTTGATGTGTACTGATGGAAGAACTGGCTGTTAAAGAATTTAATTGTACTTTTGAAAATTTAAAATTTATTGGGGCCCTTTGTAGCTCTACCTTTTCCTTAACCTGCTCTGGTACAGTACACAACTCTGCCACTAATTACCTACAGTACCTTGGAGTGCGTTTCCTAAAAACATCTTTATTTCCCTGGTACCTTCTGTTCATGGAGCAGCTACCAGATCTACTCTGCAGAGGTGCTTCCCCTCTGTTATAATGCATTTTTCTAGTCATGCTTCTATCATGAAGAGATTTCATGGGAGATTGCTATCTTTTGGCAAGATAAAAACCCAGGGAGCCTGGGGAGGTATTGATAGTTTATTTACAATTTGATGAATGTAAATGTGTTCTCTTACTGCTAATACTTGTGTATTCTGCCACCCTCTTTCTCCTATTGTTTAATTGCTTGTTTCTGCCTTTAAATCGGGCAGTCGCTATTTCCTTTCATTCGTAGCCTAACTAGGGCTGCATGCCTAAGCAGAGGCGTTAACGCAGTAGAATAGAACAAAAAAAAAAAAAAGACAGTCCAACTTTATAAGATGGCTGTTTCTGATAGCACTGACGCATTTTTTACAAGCCGCCGTGTCTGCTGAAGGGCCCTGAAGTTGTTTTCGTGCGGCAAACAGCTTGCCTGGTTCATTCAGCTTTGCCGAACGCCATGAGGCTATTACTTTTCTGCAACGGGCCACCGTTAGGCTGTTGATCGTGATGGTCACGGAAACGGTCTTCCAGTATTGCTTGTGCTTCAGTTTGCCAAACTGCACAGGATTATATAAAAGGCTCAGAAGCATTTACTTAAGGAAATGAGTAAAGACTGAGCATCACGAGTAATTAACAAGCCGGTCCAAGGCTAAGTTGGGATGTGGCCGCAGAGTGGGTCAGAGCCTGCCTCGGTTGCCGACTGTCGCGCTGGGCGTAGGGCAGGCTGAGGCTGGGCTCATCCCTCTCGTTCACTAAAAAACTAGCGCTTGTGCAAGCGCGTAGCCCTTTTACAGCTCCTGCCTGCCAAACAGCTGTGAAGTCTCGTGATTTTAGGTCTTTCGGGACCAAGTCTTGAGCTGAACGTGGCGGGTGCTCAGCTGTGTCCTGCGTCGCTCCAAGACGCTTGTACAAGACGTGAAAGATGGGGGTTTAGTTGCCGTGAAGGGCGTAATCAGAATTTGGTTTGACAGCGTGTGTCAGAGTAAGTTAAACCCTGGCTGTTAGCGGGTGAGCATCGTTCAACGCAGCGCTTCCTTGTCTATGTTTTTGTGCCCCTTTCTGCTATCGAAAGATGACTTCAGTCAAAAGTTAGAGCTAAGCAGAGAGGATATTTAATTTTAATCCACAAGTGAATCCTCAGCGTTTGGCAAAAGATTACAGGATCCAGAATCCTGGAGTCACTGGAAAGGTCTGCCCAACGGAAACACCAGTAACTAGCCTAAATAGAAACAAAAACGACTTTCAGCCAGCATGGTGCGTTTTTCGGAGGCAGCCCTTCCCCGCTGTCTCATTTTCCACTTCTACCGCCTCACAGAGACGTCGTGGCAAATTTAATAATTCTCTGTGGTAGATTTAACAGCTCCGTGGTAAATTTAATAACTCTGCGGTAAATCTAATAATTTTACGTGGTAAAATTAATAACTTTGTGGTAAATTTAGTCATTTTCTGCCCCTTCCTTCTGCGCTGCCCGGCAGCGGCGGTCTCCGCGCTGTGGCGC